CTATGTAGATTTGTGCTGTGGCACATGAAACCAGGTATATATTACCAATGTAACATGCTTCATTTGAATTGCAACATTTTCAGTGAACTGCATATCCCATAGTGCTTAGAGCCAATCTGAAATTTCTGACTGATTAGAATTGTCTGCATTTGTAAATTACTGAGGCTAGACCTGGAAAGAAAAGGAATTTGGCTCTTCTGGGGCCCCTGGTACACATTGTGCTTAATAGAAGAATTTTGATTCAGATCCTTGTTTGATGCTGAAATTATTCTTTTTTCTCCCCATATAAAATCCGTCTCCTGAAAATTGAAGGCAAATTCTATAAGTGGCACAATATAGATCATTGTTTATTATGCAACACATTTCTTCTTCCCTCCCTTTTTCCATTCTTAAAAATATTTTTTGCATCTTTGCTTATCTTTACTTACCCTGCAAGGATATTGCTCGCTGCTGTGAAGATAGACAAAACTGAAAAATTTTGATGCAACGCATCTGGACAATAGTAGATAACGTTTATTGCAGAGGATTAGGTCTGTATAAGATATCTGGAAAGATAGAGTCAGTAACTCTGTTAGGATTGAGGATGAGTCAAGGAAGACTTTACCTAAGAGCACAAGTAGAAAGAAAATTTCAGGCATGGAGAATAGACAGTGACTCAAAGACATGAAAGAGTAAGGTATTTCCAGCTGATTAACTCTTGTCAAGACTCCAAAGAAGGCTGAATAACAAAGAGTAATGACATTAACCTTCCCATGCTACTAAGCTGGTTTACCATGTTGCCTTGATATTGTGAAAATTGACGGACCCTTAGGACAAAACATATAGTCGGGAGCAAAGGCTCAACCTTCAATGTACTCTTGATGAAAGTCTCAGGTGCTGGAGTGACTGTAACATGAGGATAGACAAGATGCACATTGAGAAAGAAGTTTCAAATATTTGGTGCAGAGAATAAGAAGCTCCCCAGTTTTGGAGAAAGGATTACCAACAGAAAGGATGATCCTTAGTAAAAGGTTATTCTGAGGCTTCTCTCTTGGATTACTGATGATGTTGATGCAGGTATAGAACAAGTTAAGTCTGAAGTACTGATGAGGCAAGATAATTGTCTTATAATTAGAAATATGTATTTCATTCTAGGGCAGAAACTGAAATTGCAGATACAGATTTGAGAATGTCCATCATAGAGCTGGTAGTTAAAGCCATGGAGTAGTGGATGAGAATACCCAAAACTGCTGTACATGGAACTCTAGAAAGCCACAACATTTACTTCATGGTCAAGAAGGAAACTGAGAGAGAGAGGGTAATAATGATTGGCCTTTGTCCGTGGTCAGCTGTGCAATAATTTCCCCCTTTCCCCTTCCTAACTGTGCCCAGGTTTTTGTCTGGGTATCCATACATCTTCCCATTATGTTGCCGAGATTCCGTAGGAATCTGTCTCAAACTTAGCTCTAGGGATGAGCCATGGTTTATACAGCCATTCAGACTAACCTTATACCACTGCCATAATGATTAATTCAAATAACCCAAGCCTAAGTAACATGGCATTTTCGGGATGGGAGGGTCAAAAGATCTAATTGAATTTAATTGGACATGATGGGAAATTTGCTGGATGGAGGTTTCTGGGGAAAAAATACCTTCTGAAAGACAATCTGTTCATTCTGAAAGGTGTGACATGTTAATGTGAAACTTGAAACTGTTACAGTATAGGATAAAACTGACACCAGAGATGCAGATAGAAGGAAAGAAACCAGGTCCTTGGACAAGCTGCCTAATCCAATCAGCTCTGACCTCTGCCTTATCTGGAAATTTCATTCACATTGACTTCTATTTTGTTATTATTTAGAACAATTTTATTCAAGTTTTTCTTTGTTTGAAATGGAAAGCATCCTGATAGGTGCAAATGAACAACATGAAGAATGTAGTTAATAATATTGTATTGCATATTGAAAATTTACTGTGACAGTAAATTTTAGGTGCTCTTACCACACACATACACACCCCCAAAGTGACTATGGAAGTTTCTGCTGTGTATGTATATAAAACACCATGCTGTATACCTTAAATACATACAATTAAAAAGGGACATGTTGTAAAAAGACATTAAGAAAAGTGTTAAATGCCACCGAAACCTTAGGCATGAGTTTGGCAATTGCAGTTCATTCTCTATCTTTGCTAGATTAGCCCTGTTTGGGGAGAGGGATGGAAGCAGATTTCAGTAGATAGAAGAGTGAATGGTGGATAATAAAATGAAGACAGCAAATTTCATAAGGGCAAGCATTTTTGTCTTTCTAAAATGTATGACCGAATCCCCAGCCCCTGGAGGAGTACATGAGAAACAGTATGCACTTACCATGAACTGGACAGTGGATGAATGTGCAGACATTAGTTGCACATTTCTCATTTAAGAAGTGTCAGAAGAAGAGAATAGAAAGAGTGTGGCAACATGCTGAAAGAATAGGATAAGTAAAAAATATTTTAAAATTAGAAAAAATTTTAGTTTGGGATAGTCCTTACTATGTCATTAGAAGAAATTCAGGAAAATGTAAAAGATGATAGAAAAAATTAAGAAATGTGAAGAATAGGCCGATAAAATTTTTGAGAAGGTAAAAGATGCAAAGAGAAAATTGGCAAGTTTCCAAAAAGGCAAAACAAAAAATAATAATAAGCTACTTACAATGGAAGAAAAATGGGATTTGAATTCTGGAAGCAAAGAGATGGTGGACTAACTGGCTATAGACCAGTAGGAGGAGAGGGCTATAAGCTGGGAATGTGGATATAAATCATCTACTAAAGGAAAAGAAAGACATGTATGGATTTGTGAGAATTCAGAAAATATGTCATGTATATACCCCAAATGGGAAAGATAAAAAAAAATAAATCTTTCATCAGAAGGAAACTCCACCCTGGGAGTGGTGGCACATGCCTGTGGTCCCAGTTACTTGGGAGGCTGAGGTGGGAGGATCACTTGGGCCTGGGAAGTTCGGGATGCAGTGAGCCTTGACTGTGCTGTACAATGCAGCCTGGGTAACAGAGTAAGACCTTGTCTCAAAAAAAAAAAAAAAAAAAAAAAGAAACTTCCACATAGGTGACTATAAATTGAAAAAAGAATAGCAAGCAAGCAATAAACTTTAAAATGTATAAAATGTACCTAAAATATATAACCAAGGGAATACAAAATATGTATAAATATTAAATATTATATATATTTATAAATTATATGTATTTATAAATTATATATATTATAATTATAATTATATATAATTATATATAATATATAATATAATTATATATTATTAATATATATTTTATATATTTATAAATTATATATATTTATAAATATTAAATATTAAAATAGTAGTGATAAGATAACAAGGAATGCATGCTTTAAGTGCTAAATACAAATTGTTGAAGCAGAAGGGACATTCAGAAAGGAAAAACTGCAGTTACTGAATGTTCACCAAAACTTAGGATGGAGGTGCATTCTACAGAGTTCATCACTACGAGGGAGAACAGAGAAAGAACAGTCTCTCAGAGGCTTTTTTCTTACCTAGGAAGAAAAAAACACCACCCACCACCACCACTGCCGCCGCCGCCGCCGCCGCCGCCGCCGATGAGATGTAAGAAGTTGGAAAATGAGATGTAAGAAGTTGGAAAAGAGAAAGTAAATACTCATAGAATGGAAAACTACAGAATTTCATATTAAGTCCAAGGAAAAGAAGGAATAAATAGCAAAGCATCAAAAGCAAGCAAAAAAAATAGTGTAAGCAATATTAAAGAAGCAACAACAAAGTAAAACAGTACTAAACTGTAAGATGTAAGGAATAAAACAAAGTAAATAAAAGTTATGTTACACGTGACTTGGCCAAATTCTCTTATTGAAAAATTGAAACTGAGAGACTTAAAAAAAAACAACCCAGATATAGTTAGTAATGAAACACTGAAAGTTATGAAGAAAGTTTAAAAAGAGAAGCCAGACAAAGGCAAACAAAAGACAGAATGCCAATATTATTAGGTGGAGTAGAATTTAAGATTAAAGGCATCAAATATGTATATGTGACTAAAGAATTAGTTAGATCTGTCAACTCTCTTGAGAAAAAAGAGATTTCTATGTGCAAAATGATAGATGTAGAGAAAATAATATGAAAATAATTTTTGTAAAACAATTTTTCTTCCCTAGGTATATGTAAATGTGCATGTGTGTATGTAATTCTATGAGCAAAAGGAAAACAGACTGGTGTTTAGTATTGGCTACCTAGAAGGGACTGGGGCAGCTTGTACAGTCCCAGCCGGTACAGGTGCAGGTGAGGCTGGAGGAAGAAAAATGAAGTTTCAGTAACGGCTGACTTTGGGCAAATGCATTGGTAACCTCCCCCCCATCAGCTTCTTCCCAAAGACTTAGGATACAGGCCCTGGATTCAGGAGACATTGGAGAATGACATCAAAGCTCGGGGCAAGTCCCATAGAAAAAGTTCTAGAACTGACCCACAGCTGCCTGCTTAGCTACACTACTTAGGAGAATAAATTCCTTTTTATTTTGTTGCATAAAAGTATGCAAAGAAAACTGCAAATAGCATTAAAAAAATTAAAGTGTAAAAACAGATGCTTGATTCCAATAACAGCTGGTTGGGTTGTCTTGAGGCCTAGAAAATTTTCAAAATGTCCTGGATGAATACATGTTAAGGAGTGTTATTAAGTTAATTTTCCAGAGTCCTAGTATCATAGGGCTAATGTAAGACCGAGGGTCAAGTGCAGAGAGAACAGCAGTACACACCAAACACTTGGGATCTTTGCTTCATCCCTTCACTGACATTTCCTACCTGCAGATAAGTTTTGAACAGATACACATACAGATTTTCCTGTTGTTTCCCCAGCCCCAGGTAATTGCTTTGAATATTCTGCAAAGGTCTGGAGTCATTTTTATTTGGGTGATTTTAAGTTAGAAACAATATAGTGTATAAAATATTGGTAATGTAAAATTTTCTCTATTTCAAGGTCCAGTAATTATGACCACGACTTACATAATTATCGGAGGACAAACTCTCTAACCAGGACATAAGAGATTCTCTGGTATGAAAAAGCAAATTAACTTTGCGATATATTTAGATCGATTTAGAGGTGAGATGGATATTTTTTCTTTCTACAGCTAGAGAAGTTAGCCAGAAAGCCCCCTGTTTAAAAGAGAATCCGCAAGAAGGATGAGTTCGTTTACAGAGGGATGGATTGATAATAAGAGTGATGCTGGTGAGCACACTTATAAATTACGTGTGTAACTTTAACTTCTGAAAACAAACATTTTTTATTTACATGGTTGAGAGTGGCATTCTATAACAAATGTTTCATAAGGTTTGTGGTTATTAAAAGCTGTATGGTTAAAAGTTACGTTCCTTTGTGATTAAACCAAAAGGTTAGTTAAGCAGTTGAATATGAAGGCGAGGAGCTTTGATCATGCTCATAAGAAACAGAGCATGTAGATTTCAACTTATTTGAGACAATAGATCCTTATGGCTAACCTCAGTATCACAGGCCACATTGCTCTCTGTCATCCTTTAGGCTCTACCAGGAGAAGCAGTGGCAGGGTACTGAAGATTGGAGGTGAGTGTTTATCCCCCCAGCTTCCTCCCTGACCTACTGCCATAGGTTGACTGCTTTTTGTTTCTGGAAGTCACGGACTTCCGTCCCACAACCTCTTTACAGACAACTCTCTTTGGATCCCAGTAACCTCCCCTTTCCTGTGCACCTTTTGGCTTGTGAGTGGTAATGGCCCTGCTATAGCCCTCGGCTACTGCACTCTGCTCTAGGCTGTACATAGCAACTCATTATTGAGCTCTCATCAATGCCTAGTTTGTGCCTAATGGTTACTGTTAGGCCCCTGACTGATGCCATGTGCTGTAATCTTCTAGATGTTATTCACAAGTGCAATTTTAACACAGGACTTTTTAACTTATGTTAACAAGATAGTTCTCAAAACAATTCTCATCAAATACAATTGTACCTTACATTTGCACAATCCAGGCCAACCAAAGAATTGAAGTTTACTCATCCTGATTTCCAGAGTTACAGCTTGCTTTGTTCATGGATAATCAGAGGCCATCTAATTATGATGTGGACTCTATAACCTACAGTGTGTTATTACTTTGAATATTCCCAGGTTTACTACTTTATCTCTCTAGACTGTGGAATTAACATGTTGACATTTTCTGGCAATTATATGTGTTTAACAGTATCTTGGGCAGTTCTAAGTGACAATGATTTATTACTTTGTCCTTGTTTGTGAGCCTGTCAGTCTCAGTGGAGCTTCTTGGAGTGCATAAGAGAATGCGTGTGTATCCACTCTAAAGGGAAGACATATCCATGTCTGTGTGTTGTGGGTGGTGATGGAGAGTGACTCTGTTCATCCGTTTATTTATTCAATTAAGATTTTGTGAATATATGGAGGCTTGCATCCATAGATAGTGAACTAGAGATTTTTTCTAGCTCCAGACCCTTCAATGTAGCTGATGACAGCAATGTGTTTCTCAAACTGAGAAAATCCTGAAGAGCTTGATGGACGATAACCAGCCACTAATGGGTGAGTTACCTGACAACCCAACAGGCAAATAGATGAAGAATTTTTGCAAATCTTAACCTGAAACGTTGGTTTGGGTATAGGAAAAACTCCTGCCAGTAAATACAACACACAGACTGAACTGTGATCGGGATGTGACTGCTTCCTGACATGAAACAGATGATGGAAGCTTTTGGATATGATTTTTGACCACCTAATTAGTGGTGCATGGTTCATTGCTGGCATCTTCTTCCAGAGGTCTTGCTCAGAGATGGGAGAAGGAAGGAAGGAATTGGAAGTTGTATTAGTCTGTTCTCACACTACTATAAAGAACTAGCTGAGACTGGATAATTTACAAAGAAAGGAGGTTTAATTGACTCACAATTCCACAGGCTGTACAGAAAGCATGCTTCGGAGGCCTCAGGAAACTTACAATCATGGCAGAAGGGCGAAGGGAAAGCAAGCACTTTCTTCAGCGGAGCAGGAGAGAGAACCATGGAGAAAAACCAGATCTCATGAGAACTCACTATCATGAGAAACAGCAAGGGGAAAATCCACCCTCATAATCCATCTCCCAGCAGGTTTCTCCCTCAACATTGGGAATTACATTTTAGCATGAGATTTGGGTGGAGACAGAGCCAAACCATATTAGAAGTGTCCCAGCCAGAGGCCAACTTCTGTTTAGAGGCATTCTTTGAGTATAATGGTGTAATAAACAGGAGAAATTTGGAGCCCCAAGACAATCTTCCCCCGGATAAAAAAAGAAATGAGGGCTACTTTAGAAGACAGTGTGGCAGTTTCTTAACACAATCTTACCATAGAATCCAGCAATAACACTTCTTGGTACTTATAAGTTAAAACTCATGTCCACCCAAAACCCTCACATGGATGTTTATAGTAGTTTTATTCATAATTGCCAAAACTTGGAAGCAACCAAAATGTTCTTCAGTAAGTGAATAATAAGTGTGGGACATCTAGACAATGGAATATTACTCAGCACTAAAAAGAAATAAACTATCAGGTCATGAAAAGAAATAGAAGAACATTAAAAGCATATTACTTGACATCTCACTTCAGGAGAAGTCAATCTGCAAAACTACAGACTGTATGACTCCAACTGCAAGATGTTCTGGAAAAGGCAAAGCCCTAGAGACATGAAAACAATCAGTGGTTGGCAGAGGTTAGTGAGGATGAATAGGGAGATTTCTTTCTAGGGGATATTTAGGGCAGTGAAAGTATTCTCATACTATACTGGGGAGTACATGTCGTTATACAGTTGTCTAAACGTGTAGAATGTATAAGATCGAGAGTGAAACCTAATGTTAATGATAGACTTTGGATATAATGACATCAATGTAGGTTCACTGACGGTAACAAATGTACTACCCTGGTGGAGATGTTGATAGTGAGGAATACTGTGTGTGTGTGTGACGGCAGGGGGCAGGTAAGGACAGGGGTATATGGGGACTCTATACTTTCTGCTCAGTTTTCCTGTGAACCTAAACTTTTCTTAAAAAGAAACCCAGATTTAAACGTGAATTGAGTAGGCAAGGCAGTGTGTCTTTTGGAGTCTGTGGTCACACATAAAGCGTGTTCAAACAGCCTCTGTATAAGCCCTGTGAGCCTTCTACACTGTGTATCACACTCATACAGCAGGTATCAGACCGTAAAAGAGGGGAGAGGTCATTTAGCAGTCATGGGACATACTCCTGTCTCCAACTTACTCTCCTGAAGCATTCTATACCCATGAGAATCTAAGCTTACTAATGGTGGGAAGTTTAATAAACACTCTCAAGCTATTAAATGGTTTCTCTATGATTTCTAAAAACTGTGCCTAAATAACTGCTTGACACACTTTGGGATGTTCTATTTCTAGAGACAAAGGATCCATCATGAATTGGGTCTTTCAGAGAGAAAGAGAATAAGATAGAATTTGTATTCACACCAAAAACCAGATGAAATATTTTGTGCTCTGACTGTACATTTTTGGAATGCTGGGACTTTGGGGCAGTATTTTCTGAAGCCCTTAATCTTTTAGTAGCTGCCAATTGGCCAAGAAAGAAAACAGCAGGAGGGCACATTTCTGTATATTACTATTCATAACAGTTTTGAATATTTTCCCCAGAGCAGTTGATGCTCCTTGGACAGACAATAAATAATTAATCATCATCTCATCCTTGCAGAACAAAATGACAGTTTTTTTTGATTTCACAGATGGGGAAAATGTGATCACTAACAGAGAGGAGATGGGCTTAGGACATGGGTCTGGGAGAAGCCCCAGCGGCTTTGTTTCATGGTCAAGTTGAACAGATTAGACTACTGGATGCTCACAGTGCTGCTGGCTGTTGCTTCCAAGAAAGATTGATATGTTTGTCTTGACATCTCACTTCAGGAGTGGATGGATACACAGAGCAGGATAAATTTGGGACAAAAGTGTTCTAACATTGCTCATGCTCTACATTCATTCGTCTCTTCGGGCAATTCAGCACATGTGTTTATCCCATTAATGACTGGAGAAAAAGTCCAAATTACCTTCCAATTTACATGATGCATATTAGTGGGTTGGAGCAGTAATGGTGATGAATTTTTCTCTGCTTAGGTTGTGCATGTATTTAGGGCCCTTGAAATCTGAGAGTAGCCACACTATAAGTAGCTGAGCCTCTTTCTCTAGTACCTGCTCAGATAGAATTTGTTTCTAATCTAAACAAACTAATAAACAACCTATTCCATGCTGGAGAATTCTGAAGATGATGATTATGGCAAATTCTACTTCCAATTTTAGCTCTTTGTGGTGCATTGCCTTGATTTTATGGATTTAAATTTGCTTTAGGTTAAAAAATACCTTTATAATACACACACACACACACACACACACACACATGCTCATATGCATACAGAGTAACACAATGTCAGCAAACCTAGCTAGTTTGAGCTTCAGAACATTTTGTTCTAGTGTTTTATGTGGCTGCTATAAGAATGTTATGGGAAATGTGGGGAAATGTCAGCATCCTATTGGGAGAGCAGCACTGGACTAATTTCATGTCGAGTCTATTTCTCTACTGCAAGCTGACATGGAGAAAGAATTGAATAGGTTCGTGATCTAATACTCTTTGTCTCCTGTCTTGGTTATGTTTAGGCCAAGTACTTTTGGAGAAATGGTTGAACTGAGCCTTCTGCTGAATTGTTTTGATTCTAAGGTCCCAAAGATTTTATTTTTCCCCATAGACAGAGTCTCACTCTGTCACCCAAGCTGGAGTGCAATGGTGCAATCTCGGCTCACTGCAACCTCTGCCTCCGGGGTTCAAGTGTTTCTCCTGCCTCAGCCTCCAAAGTAGCTGAGACTACAGGTTCATGCCACCACGCCTGGCTAATTTTTGTATTTTTAGTACAGATGAAGTTTCTCCACATTGGCCAGGCTGACCTCGAACTCTTGACTGTAGCAGGAAGTCAGGGACCCCAAACCGAGGGACCTGCTGAAGCCATGACAGAAGAATATAAATTGTGATGATTTCATGGACATTTGTTAGTTCTACAAATTAATACTTTTATAATTTCTTACGCCTGTCTTTACTGCAATCTCTGAACATAAATTATGAAGATTTCATGGACATTTATCACTTCCTCAATCAATGCTCATAATTTCTTATGCCTGTCTTTAATCTCTTAATCCTGTCATCTTCATAAAATGAGGATGTATGTCGCCTCAGGACCCAGTGATGATTGCGTTAACTGCACAAATTGTTCATAAAGCATGTGTGTTTGAACAATATGAAATCTGGGCACCTTAAGAACAGGATCACAGCGATTTTCAGGGAACAAGGGAGATAACCTTAAAGTCTGGCTGCCTATAGGCCGGGCAGGACAGAGTCGTATTTCTTTTATTACCGAAAACAGGTAAGATAAATATCGCTGAATTCTTTCCCCAGTAAGAAGTATTAATAATTACAGCCCTGGGAAAAGAATGCATTCCTGGGGGCCCCTAAAATGGTCACTTAAGGGGTGTCTGCCTTATGCAATTGCAGATAAGGGAGGAAACACACCATGGTCTCCTGCAGCACCCCCAGGCTTGCTAGGATTAGGAAATTCCAGCCTGGCGAATTCTAGTCACACTGGTTCTCTGCTCTTGAACGCTGTTAAGATGTTTATCAATGACAATGCGTGCACAGCGGGACACGAAAGTTCATTAGTGATTCTTGTTTCTCCCTGACCTTGTGACCTTGCCCTACCCATTTGTCTTGTGATATTTTGTTGCCCTTGAAGCATGTGATGTCTGTGACCCACACCCTATTCCTACACTCCTTCCCCTTTGAAAATCACTAATAGAAACTTGTTGGTTTTATGACTTAGGGGGCATCACAGAACCTGCTGACATGTGATGTCTGCCCCGCACACCCAGCTTTAAAATTTCTCTCTTTTGTACTCTTTCCCTTTATTTCTCAGACCGGCTGACACTTAGTGAAATAGAAAAGAGCCTACATTGATTATTGGGGGCTGGTTCCCCTGACACTTGACCTCAAGTGATCCACCTGCCTCAGTCTCACTAAGTGCTGGGATTATAGGCATGAGCCAGTGCACCTGGCCAGATCCCAAAGATTAAATTGTGTAAATGGCAACAGCAGCCAAGAGCCAGAAACACTGAAAAGTAGTGTAGAATAGGGATTGAAAATGGCTTTGTATTTTGGAGTTTCATTTTTAGAATCTCAGCTTTGACCTTGGGTTGTTGCACAATTTTGGGCAAGCTTTAATTTTTTCCATGAACATTTAGGATAGTTTCTGCCCTATAATGAATATTCAATCTGTAGTACAATGATATTGACGATTTTGTATGGGCAACAGACTGACTTTCTTTTTAAATCAGAACCTGGCAATCATTTCCTGCCTCCTTGACAGAGTTACAGATTCTGAATATATGGGATTAGGGCTAAGGTGTCTGCATTTTAGAAAGTTCCATAGATGGTTGTGTAAGGAGTGGATAGAAAATTATCTTTCTGTGTTGGGAGATTCTCTGACCTCACTCAGCTTGGTCTCTGAACATCTATGTCAGATAACATTAGGACTTACTCCATGTAGCTAAATTCCTAGTCCCGACTCAGCACTTACATGTTACTATACAATCCCTGCCTCACTGCCACAACCATTTCTCTGAGCTTCTTCAGAGCACTACACTTCAGGGAATAGAGAGAGCGCTGCAGTAAGATAGTATTTGAAATAAAATGCTAGTTAGACTGAGGCAGGACAGATCTTCTGTGTAGATATTTAGCTGATGAAGTGTTAAACTAGGAGTGGTAGAATCATATAATGCATGATGAATCTTGTATAAGCAAAGTTGAAAAACAAACTGTTCTGATTCATCTGTACTTGTTGCTGAAATAATTTTACCTCAACTCCTTATTTTTCTGTGTGCATTAGGTCCGCAAGAGGGTACTGAACTAAAATCCTCAGATTGGAATTTGCTGTGCTAACTATAGGCATTGTTTGGAGAAGAGCGAACATTCAAGATTGTATTCACCTGTGGGTAGTCCCGGTTCATAGAGGTGGCAGGATGGAGATCGAGCACAGGTGAGTAGAGCATGGTCATTCATGGACTTTCCAAGTGTAGTAGGACTAAACCCTTAGAGCCAGGGAACACTGGGAGAGAGTGAAGACAATCTCAGAGACTTGGAACCATGGTCAAGGAATTACACTCCTGGGAGAGATTCCTAGAAGTGGAACATGGAATCAGAAGTACAATAATGTGACTGTGGGTAAATTTCTATGACGTAGTCGCAGGAGGACAGGCAAAAGTGCCCTATAATTAAATGAATGGGCATCAAAAAGTAATGAACAGGCTGAAAATCAGAAGAAAGTCTGGGGATGCCACTTTTTTTTTGGAAAAAAAATTGGTTTTTGTTATTTTAAGTTCCAGGATACATGGGTAGAATGTGCAGGTACACATGTGCCACAGTGGTTTGCTGCACCTATCAACCCATCATCTAGGTTTTAAGCCCCAGATGCATTAGGTGTTTGTTCCAATGCTCTCCCTCCCCTTGCCTCCAACCCCACGACAGGACCTGGTGTGTGATGTTCCCCTCCCTGTGTCCATGTGTTCTCCTTGTTCAACTTCCACTTATGAATGAGAACATGGCGTGTTTGATTTTCTGTTTGTGTGTTAGTTTGCTGAGAATAATGGGATGCTGCTTTTTCATGTTGGGGATAACCTAATGCTACAATCCCTTCAAGATAGGGCTTAAGTACTTCCTGTTTCAAGGAATCTTCTGTCAGTAGATTAGTAGATATAATTGTGGGGAATCTTGGAAAAAACAGAGCCCAAAGCAAAAAGGAGAGAGCTCTCACCACCAGAGCATTTCTATCTTTGAATTTTTCTAAATGCAATTTGCAAAGTATCATCACAGGGGAGGACCAACATCAGCTAGCATTTATTGATCACTTACTCTGTGCCAGGAGTTAGCCTAAATATTTTACATGTGCCATCTCTTTATTCTTTCCAGCAGCTGTATTGGTAGATTTCTTTTATCTCTCTTTGGCCAGTCAGGAGATGACGTTTCAGAGAAGTTATTGTGTCTAGGTGACAGAGGTGTAAGTAGAGGCAATAGAATTCAGACCCGGATGTGTTAACTATTCTTTGTCTCCTGATTTTAGGTATTATTTATCAATCTGTGCTAAATCACAATAGTCCTTCCTGAAGTAATTTTCCAAATTTCTTTCCATTGTACTGTCAGCCTATCTAGAAGGAAAATGAAGAAATATAATACACTATATATCTCTACCTCACTATCATCTATCTTGCTATCTTCCTTTGCCTCTCTCTCTCTAATTTATGTCTATATAGTGTTAAAAGAGCATCAGTTATTAAATTATATAAATACTGAGTTTATATTAAATTATATAAATCTTATTCTGTCTTAAACATCTAGTAAGGTATTCTCCTTGGACTCAAGAAATGTATGGTCCAGTTGGAACAATAAGACAAATGCCATAATAACATACTGAAGGCCATAGGTATCACATGCTATACAGTCAGGCAAAAAACTAAGGTCTAAAAGTAGGGACAACCTCTTTGATATTGAGAATAATAATATAGGCAAGGGAGCAGTTCAGCTAGTTCATAGTATTTTGTTAAAAATCAGTTGATTTGACTGGGCGCGTTGGCTCATGCCTGTAATCCCAGCACTTTGGGAGGCCAAGGCAGGTGGATCACAAGGTCAAGAGGTCGAGACCAGCCTGGCCAATATGATGAAACCCTGTCTCTACTAAAAATACAAAAATTAGCCAGGCATGATGGTGGGTGCCTGTAGTCCCAGCTACTCAGGAGGCTGAGGCAGGAGAATTGCTTGAACCCAAGGAGTGGAGGTTGGAGTGAGCTGAGATCACGTCATTGTATTCCAGCCTGGGTGACAGAGCGAGACTCTGTCTCAAAAAAAAAAAAAAAAAAAAAATCAGCTGATCCAAGTTTGGGACTTTATGTCTATACCAGGGTTGTCTAGCTCAACACATGAGACATAGTAAGAATCAATAAAAGATTTTTATTAAAAGGATAAACCAATGAGGGATGTCTATTGACCATTTAGTGCATTTACTTTTTCCAACAGATTTATGGCTGCATACAAGTCATTCTCTTTGTGTAACTGTTATGTATTATTTTTAAAATAATGACATTTAATCAAACTTTTTAATCCAATCATCTTCTGTTTGGTTACTGTAAGTGGCTCTCAAAATAAAATTGGAACTTGAAAAAACAACACACTTTGACCTGGAAAAGCCACTTAAAATGTTTTGAATTAGGCTCATTTAATTGCATATATCTGTATTTTTCCACAAGTAGAAGCTTGCAAAATCTTGTAGTCCATTTGTTCTCATCCTGCTGAAAGAATCAAAATCTTAAAAAAAAACTTATCTGTAGGAAACTAATTTGTGATTCTCTACTAATTTACAAATAGCTTAAATCTTCAAGTCTTTCTCTCTCAAGGTAGTCACAATGGTTATCGCTCTATAGCCAAGTACCCTAAAACTTAGCAGCTTAAAAACAATAAACATTTATGATTTCAACATTTCTGTGGGTTAGGAATTTGAGAGCAGTTTAGCTAGGAAGTTATAGCTCAGGGCCTCTCATGACGTTGCGGTCAAGATGTCGGTCAGGGCTGCAGTTATCAGAAAGTCATCTGGGGCTAGGAGATTTACTTCAAAGTCATTCATGTAGCTGTCAATAGGAAGCCTCTGTTTATCACTGGTTGTTGGTTGTAAACCTCAGTTCCTTGTCATGTGAACTTCTCCATAGGGCAACTGACGTCATGCTAACTGGCTGCTGCTTCTAAAGCAAGTGAGAGAGAACTAGTAAATGCCTCCCTTTTTGTGACCTAATCTCTGAAATATTTTTACCATCAGTTTAACTTTATTCTACTTATTAGAAGTGAATCCATGGGTCCAGCCTCTGTCCAAGGAGAGGAGAATCAAAGGAGAGAAGAATTAGCTACCATACTTGTATATGTATATTTGTCTTTATATATTGTTCCTTCGCTTTAGAATGTGAGGAAAAAAATCCCTTTGGAAAGAATTATGCATGTGTGTGTGGATATATAATGTGTATATGTATATATGTATGTATATATACACATATATATGTATATATGTGTGTATATATATGTGTGTGTATATATGTATATGTGTGTGTATATATATATGAATGAATTAACATTAATGGCATTGAATTATTTTGAAAGGTATTTTCAGAAGCAGACCTGTGTGAAACTGATTGTTCTATTAACCATATGAATGTTTCTAATGCTTAATTAGGAATGGCTTTGTTTCATCTGAACAACTAATGTTTTTACATTTGGGCCCTGTGAATCTATGGTGTGTTCAGGTTTCCTTCTCATGCTTCCTGTAAGAAGATTTAAAGTCAATTATTTTCCCTAAACTTTAGCAAACTTAAAAACTTTTTATATATATTCTGGGAGCTAATCTCTCTTACTGACCTCCTCTTACTTACCTTCTTATCATGATTTGTCTTTACTCCAATCTTTCTTTTCAAAGGTAAATTTATACCACTACCTAGCATATCGTTCTGAAATGTTCTCTTGTCCTTTTGGGAACAAGACGGGTTATGAATAAACAATTGTATGAGGACTTGACCAACCTAAAATAACAGCTGTCATTGTATTGAGTGCGTATTCACTCATTTTGCGCACTCATCATGAGTGCGTGTCACCCATTTCATGGAAATTATGTAATATTCACAAAGATCCTTTGATGTAGGAAACGTTATCTCCATTTACAGATGACGCGGCCAGGTTAAAAACTAGTAATGGGCAGGAACAGGCCTCGAACCCTCATATCTCTGACTCTAAAGCCTTCTCACAACTGAGAGCTTATGTAACTGGATGACTTAGATGCATTTCCCCTCAGTCTCAGACCCCTTCCCAGTGCAGCTCTCTTGACAGTCACTGGTGATCAACCCTACCTGACTGGGAGAAGATTTTAAATTCCATCTCTGGATCCCTAGCTTGAACTAAAAGGGTTTTTTTTTTTTTTTTTTTTTTTGTGGTATGAGGAGGTTACTTTCACAACTATTTTCTGTTGTATACATCCCTTCCCCACCCCTACCAAAGAAACGAAATAAAAATTGGCTTGGCACAGTGGCGCATGTCTGTACTCCCAACAATTTGGGAGGCCAAGTCACCTGAGGTCAGGAGTGCGACACCAGCCTGGCCAACATGGTGAAACCCTGTCTCTACTAAAAATACAAAAATTAGTGGGCATGGTGGCACGTACCTGTAATCCCAGCTACTCGAGAGGCTGAGACACGAGAATTGCTTGAACACAGGAGGTGGAGGTTGAGCTAGGATTGCACCCCTGCACTTCAGCCTGCATGACAGAGCAAGACTCCATCTCAAAAAAAAAAAAAAAAAAATTAGCATTAGCAGAATGCGGACTAAAATTTATATTTTAAGAAGGAATACACAGCTTTGTGAACTAAGGATACTTGGACAAGTATCTTTGAGAGCTCAGTTTGATTCTATAAAATTTCCTTCACTTTTATGAGTCTGGACTTTGGGACTGAGATATGAGTATTTCACTTGATATTCAGTCCTCCTGCCAAAGTGAAACTATGGCCCTTTTCCTGTTTTTAAATCAAATTTGTACAAATCACTGAGCCATGCAAAATTTCTACCTGCATTAATAAACTGATGACCTAAAATCAGAGAGAAGGGAGGGGTAGTGTATAATTTATTTGATCTGTTGGCTGGCTGATGAAGGCAGACAATTTTATGAGATTCAGATTCACATTTTGCTTTGAATCTACTTTTTTTTTTTTTTTTTTTTTTTTTTAAGTCCACAGAATGTTTTTCACCCTCGAATTTTCCACATACGTAGCTTTGGGAGTTGTCTTTTCAATCCATTCTATGACAGGTCAACAGAGATGGAAGTCTTTGATAGACACAGGCTTTCTAAGCTGTACGTAGTCTGTAATATTTATCTGTTGATGTAGTCCAGGGAGAACTCTATTTAGAATCAAGGCATGATTATTTGATTGTGGCTCTTACTTCATTTGCTTCATGTAAATAGTATTGTACTTTAGACCCAGGAATGTAAGTGCAGATTTGAAGCTGGTATACAAATCGGTTATATTTGTATAGCAAATCCTATCTCCTTTTTTTGACATCTGTAGGGATTGAATACTTTTAGAAGTTATATATTGCAGAATGCTAAGGAGTAGCTTAGAATTGAACAGAACAGGAGAAAATGAGTCTTGGGAAATAAAGTAATATAGTTAAAATAATTTATCCAAAGTAAAGCAATTGTTATATGCTCAGATCTTCAAGGTTATAAAAGAAATTGTCTTCTTAGAAAAGGGTTAGAAAACTTCAAAGAATTTTTGGTGTAGATTTAGGAAAGGCATTTGTGGGAGTATTGGTTTCTCTACATCTTTTCTGGCCCCAATCCTTTGTTTAAATTTATAGTTTCTGAAGT